CCTCCCGCCCACTCCTTCGATTCCTTCCTCATCTGGCAGTAGCCACTTACCTGCCTGTGGGCCTGGGACTTGCAAATTCCTGCTGGCTTCCCCAAAGACTTTGGTTGTGGGAAGCAGGCAGGAAGTTGCCTTGCCTAACAACAGTGGGATTCAGTTAATAAAGGCAACTGGGACTGCAGGGATTGCCATCGCTAGGTGACACAGTCGTGCTTTAGACTGCATTACTCAGCAATGGAAATTCTGGTCCCAATTGCCGTTGTAAGTCAAGGACTACCTGTAGTTCATTACTGTTATTATTACTGTAGTTCACTGCCTTTTATTGCTGTCAGACAAATACCATGTACCATGCATGTGTTTGAGGATCTTACAAAGGCTAAACCCAGATTAAGCATTCCAGTTATTACATGACTAAGGGATGTCTGAACATTAAATTAGGACATGTTTGTTTTGTTTTGTTTTTGGATGCTACTGCAAATACTGGAACTCCATGCATAGCATGGTAGAGTTTCTTTTGCTATGTATTTTTTGGAAAATGGAAAGCAGAAGTACTATACACTAAGATAGGAATCTCCAGTATAATCTTATAGGTTATAAAATCAAATGCAGTTTCTCACTGTATTTTCTAAAAAGCAACATTTACTATCTTAGGCTAAACCACAACTCAAATCCACTTTAAAACATGATTAAGTCAATATTTATATATTTCTTACTTGCTCTGCCAGATGATTCTCCAGTTCTGAGAATCAGCTCTTTCACGATTTTCATCTTCTGATAGATTTTCAAAACTGACATTAGACCAAAGTTGCAAACAACTGGAACTAGTCAATAGACGAGAGCCTAGATTTTTCAAATTAGAAAGCACAGATTTGTTTAAATCCAGCTATGGAATTCACAATATTTAGATGAAAAATTTGAACTACGTAACATGAAACAATGGTATCTATCCATATTGGATGGATGGATGGATGGATGGATGGATGGATGGATGGATGGAGATGTAGTTAAAAAAAAAAAAAAACCTAGCAAGTATGTTTCACTTTAAGAAAATTATTCCTTTTTCTCCCATAAAAATTTTTGAATTGTAGGCTGTAATCAGTTATGTGAAATATGAATCCGAATCTCTGTTTATATTGGTTATCGTTTGGAAGAAAATAAAAGATAGTTTGGTTCTCTCTACATATAGCTACTCTAACTATACCACATTCAATTATTTGTAATTTTTAGGTGCCTTATAAACAGGTGTGCATAATATTGAGTAAAAGATTACCTTACATGGATATAAAGGTGAAAGGATGTTTATAAAATTAAAATACTGATGAAGTAACACTGAAATTCCAATATATAGCATTGGAGTTTCCATCGTTAAGTATATATATTAAAATAATATAAATACCAATTTATTTTGTGTATATATTTTTGCAGTCTATACATCCAAATATTTCTAACATCCTCTTCCTATAATCAATTTTCTAAAGTATCATAAATATTTAAAATATAAATAATCCATTTACAAGATAAACAAAGGAGCATCAAAGTGTCTATGTGTGGCGGTGGGGCAAGTGAAATAGATCTGAGCTGAAAACCTAGAGCAGCCTAGAGCATGGCTGGCTGGGGAATTCTGGGACTTGAAGTCCACACAGCTTAAAGTTGCTAAGGTTGAGAAACACTGACCTACATTAATTGAAAATGAAGGCTTACATGATAAACAAGTAAACTGCTTCTGGCAACATACCTGTGAAAAACCTTTTTAAAATTCTAGATGTTAATTGTTCTACTTTTTTATAACTTTATATATCAGAACTGTTTCAGTTTATAGAGCTGGGGGAAATATCTCAAAGAATTAAAGTAAAATATGCATACATACATATATATGTGCATATATAGCTTTATCTTATACACTAGTTGCCTTGTCTTGATAATGTAGAGCATCTGGAAATTTATTGAAAAGTGATTAAAAATGTTTAAAATAGAACTAGATCAGAGTGAAAACTGAAAGGAAGTATTTTTCCTTACCTGTAGGATCCCAAGTTAAATTATGCACAACATGTTCCAAGCAAATCTGATCTGAATTCTGCCACTGATAAGATAGTCCCTAAAATCACATAAAATGCTTAGTCTAGCATGTAATCAATTGAAAATCTTGATTAAAAATTTGTAATAAATCTAACAGAAGTATTATCAAATCTGTTTTAACCATTTGTACCAGAATACTGATATGCAAAAGATGTTTTTAAACTTTTGTACTCTTTTAACATAAACATTTAACATAAATGGAAAGAAAGCTATATTTCTGGTTACCCATTATCATAGTAAGAAAAACACTAAAAACAAGTGCAAATAAGACAAAATAGTAAGTGTTGACTTGTGTAAGAGACCATTCACATAAAAGGTGTCAGACAAACATGTTAATCTAGTCCACAGAATGGACCTTATTAAGAGCAAACTTTGATTGTTACAATTCAATATATATTGATCTTGGAATGGGTCCCATTGAATTAAATAAAGTTTATTTCAGCGTAGAAGCATGTGCTGCGAGGTTCCTTCTATTTTGCAGTGTGTCAGTTATTCATTTATACAAGCTTCTTGTTTAAGCATTTGAGGAAATAACTACTATCTTGTCAATTTCTTCCAATTATCTAGCTCCAATGAGTAAACTTGGAAAACATTCATCTTTAGCGCTCAGAGGATACTTTACAGTGAATGTGGCTCTGATTTTTTTTTCCCCTCTGAAGAACTCTAGCTTCATTTTGGTATCTTCCAAGGCATTTATTTTAAGTAAATTCATTAAAAACCCATCATGTGGACAATTAATTTTGAAATATAATTGAAAAGCAGTAATCAGTATTGCAACATGAAAGAACCTGCAGTCACATAAGCCAAACAATCCAGTGCTTTGCACTCCATGGTCACCATTTTTAGTTTTCAGGACACCTGAGATATTCTTTTATGGAATAAATAAATGGCTAAGATGGTTCAGTCATCTTAGTATTAAGATGAGGCAGTCATACCAAATGTGACTTAAACTTTCCACTCCCTAGAATGCTCCCTGTAACCTGTCCAGGTTAATCCTTTGATGGGAGACCACCTGGAAATTCCAGAACTATAGGCAAAGAAAGAAAAGAAAAAAGAAAAAAAATGCCAAAGTTGGCAACAGTATACTACACTGTAGTTATGAAAACTGTCCATGTAATCATTAAAAAATTAGCTCTTCTCAATATAATCTTTACCTTTAAGTCTGAATACAAACTTAATTTACACAGCAAACAGTTCCTACACCTCCTTTCTCCTTTTCCACCAAACTACTTTAAGAAAGCTGACTTTTTTCAGACAGTTTACACAAGCCTGGTGCTAATTCTATGGTTTCTATAATGCTGTACTGTATCTTCCTTGTCAAGTAGTTTCTACTTATCTAAACGATGGGAGCTAAACAGCAACACATGCTAGCCTCAGAACTGAAGGCCATCACTTGCTATTCAATAACCATGCCAACACTGGACAATATAAAAATAAAATCAATCAAATAAATTAGCCTGACCAAAACTCCATATAAATACCAACTTAAACTGAACGCAACAATATAGTTCTTGTGAAGTCTGAGTATCATGCACACCATTATGATTTCAAGGAAATGTGTGTAATTATTAATAACCCACTCAAAGTTTGCTAGGTTTCAGAAATAATCAAAGCAAATGACATTACATATATAATTACTTAACAGGACAGAAAAGATGAATCACTTACAGAATCATGATTCTTCTGCTTTAGATGCTTGACTGGCTCAAAAATACAAATTATATTTCCATAAGCAGCTGCAATCTAAAACAAATTGCAGTTTAAATCAGCAGTTTTTGTAGTCTCCATTTCATAGAATTGTAAGGCACAGAAGTATATTCAGTCATGTCAGGTAAAAAAAATTACCTACTTATTTTTTGTTAAGATTTATAAGGCAGTCCCACTCAAACAGCATGACTCTGGGTGGTGTTCAGCATAAAACAAACAATAAATCAGAAAAGGATATATTCCTACCTTCTCCAGAACAGATTGAGTGAAGCACTGAGAACAGCAACAGGATGTCTGCTCTTACATTACAGTTTAACCCATACAGAAAATAAAAATTGCAGGGGTGAGGGAATATTGCTTTAGATATAAAGATAATAAAGAAGAGTAAAGTTAATACATATATATTTCTATATATATGCATATAAGATGTATACATATTATAAGCATATCTGAAATATATACGTAAGAGTAAAATAATAAAAATACAGGTAGTCCTCAACTTATGACCATTCGTTTGACTGTTCGAAGTTACGATGGCACTGAAAAAAGTGACTTATTACCAGTCCTTGCACTTATGACTGTCAGAGTGTCCGCATGGTTACGTGATCAAGCCTGAGGGGCTCAGCAACCAGCATGTATTTACAACAGTTGCAGCATTTCAGGGTCACATGATCGCCATTGCGACCTTCCCAGGGGGCTTCTGACAAGCAAAGTCAATGGGGGAAGCTGGATTTGCTTAACGGCTGCATGAATTGCTTAACAGTTGCAGTAATTTGCTTACCAACTGTGGCAAAAAAGGTTGTAAAATTGGGCACAACTCACTTAACAACCGCATCACTTAGTGACATAATTTCCAGTCCTAATTGAGATCATAAGTCGAGGACTACCTGTAGTTTATCAACAAGCAGATTGGAAATTAAACACACAGACATTTTTAGCAAATTGAAAAATATTTAAATGCATTAACTTGAAATAATAAAACCATCACCACAGATTTCTTCAACAGAGTTTAATGCACAAATGGAGAACCAGAGATCCTTCCATTTCACATTATATACAATATTCCATCACACCCAGCTACTATGACCAAAGATTCATGCTGATGCATTAAAAAGTTCACTTTTGCTTTTGTGTATAATTTATTTCACAGACACCTGTGATTTAAAAAAAATGTTTCATATAATGCTATTTTTGCAGAATCGCTGGAAAAAATGTAATTCTGAACAATCTACACACCAACATGATCTAAAAATGCCAACTCAATTTTCATCAAAATAACAAAGAATCTAAAGTAGACACAACAACAAGTAGAACAAAAATACCATATAGTGAAAGCAGAGACTATAAACACCATACTTCTCAGTGTATCAGGTAGTAAAGCAACTTTTGAGAAATCTTCAGTGATAATTAATTATATTCAAAATACAGGAGAAAGAAACCACAAAATATTTAAAGTTTCATTAAGGGGACAAAATTAAAAATAAAATTGATTAATAAAATTAAATATCAATTTTTTGAAATGAAAATACTGAACTGCTTGAAAAAAAATTAAAGCACTAAAGTGTTCTTAAAAATAACTTATTAAATACAGTAGTGTGAAAAAGAAAGTACACCCTTTTTGAATTCTATGGTTTTACATATCAGGACATAATAAAAATCATCCGGTCTTAGCAGTTCTCAAAAGTAGGTAAATACAACCTCAGATGAACAACACATAACATATTACACTATGTCATCATTTATTTTACAAAAAGAAAGCCAAAATGGAGAAGCATGTGTTAAAAACTAAGTACACCTTCTGATTCAATAACTTGTAGAACCACCTTACGAACAATAACTTGAAGTAATTGTTTTCTGTATGACTTTATCAGTCTCTCACATAGTTGTGGAGGAATTTTGGCCCACTCTTCTTTACAACACTGCTTCAGTTCATTAAGGTTTGCGGGTATTTGTTTATGCACAGCTCTCTTGAGGTCCACCATAGCATTTCAATTGGTTTGAGGTCTGGACTTTGACTGGGCCATTGCAACACCTTGATTCTTTTCTTTTTCAGCCATTCTGTTGTAGATTTGCTGGTGTGCTTGGGATCATGGTCCTGTTGCATGACCGAACATTGGCTGAGCTTTAGTTGTCAGACAGATGGCCTCACATTTGACTCTAGAATACTTTGGTATACAGAGGAGTTCACAGTTGACTCAATGACTGCAAGGTGCCCAGGTCCTGTGGCTGCAAGACAAGCCCAAACCATCACCCCTCCACCACTGTGCTTGACGGTTGGTATGAGATGTTTGTGCTGATATGCTGTGTTTGGTTTTCGCCAAATGTGGTGCTGT